AATAGTTTTATTGATTAACATATTATTTAGCAACTCTGCAAAATTAGCATATTCTTTATTTGAAAAAGATTCATTTATGGAATGCATAGGAAACAAAAGGATCACAGAGGATCACACAATAGCTTTTCTGGTTATTGCAAAATATCCAATACTTGTACGGTTTATGAACCTTTTGCAAATCCAAAATGATAAAATTCACTACCACCGTGTCCAGTGTGTAATAACGAAGAATATGAATACGTAAAAATATATATAACAATTTAAAGTTATCCATTATCAATTGAAATATTTTTGTATCTTTCAAAAACATTGATGCACGGTATCTTTTTTGCAGAATATTGTATGTCACTTAAAGATAATATTTTTGAAAGGGCGGGAAAAGACATACATGAACGTATACATATATCTAATGGGATAATACTTAGCGAAAATGTAATAAAATAAAACATTACATGCTATATCTAATACGTTTCTACTTTTATATGCTAAAAAAACATACATTTCAATTTCATTTATTATTTTTTTTTAATACTTAAAGTGACAATACGGCGCATCTCATCAAAAAACTGACTTGATAAAATTTTCCGACAAGATTTGGTATTTTTTTTACTGATCATAAATGTATAACTTTCAGAAAATTACAACTGTCACAATTAAATAATTTTGATTATTTCGTTAAAATTAATAGTTATTCATGGGAGGTAAATATATACATTGCAACGTGTTCGGGGTTCCATATTCTTTGCTATGCACGCATGCGTAGTTTTCATAAACAAAACAGCATGGTTAGAGAGGGAAGCCCGGTAGGCCTGCTACATTGGAAAAGTCGACCAAAAAGAAAAAAAAAGAAACTGAAAATAGAACTTGAAAAAGCAACTTTCCTGACTAGAATTTAGTTTGGGGATTAATAAAATCACTGGATAAGGAAGAAACGGGAACTCGGCGACACTCGTGCAGGGCTCTCGAAGGTTCTATTCGACAGGTTTGTTGATACTTGTTATCATTTCTCATTTTTCCATCGCTTTCAAAGAAAAAAAAAATAGTGTAAACTCAACATAAAAATACACCTTTGACTTATTAACATTGTTCCCATTTTTTAACTGTGCAGAAAAATATTTTGTTAAACATTTGCCGCGATAATGTATGATTAGTTGGTTTTTCCTTTCTCGGACCCCAATACACAAAACGTCAACATTTGTACTTTTAATTCTGTTAAATTTGCCCGAAAGCAGACTAAAATCTTTACGATTATGATTTTAGATTATTTTATCAGAAAGTTATGATAATTTGCTTTTGAAAATTGCTTTTATCTAATATTCATTATATTTGTAAACTATACAGTGTAGGCACGTGTCGTTTTAGAATTCACGTGGTACAAATAAACAGATCGAAGATTGCTCCAGTTCGTACGACCCTTGATTTTCCGGCAGATTCTAATTACGTTAATTTTGTTTGGGTAGAGAATATTTCTGTTTCTCAAACTGCTTACATAAACTTTATACCTTATTTCTTAGTGACATATTGTGTAAATGTGAATGAAAAAGCACACATTTTGCAGCCGTACTGTCGCTTTAAGTATGATTTACTGTATATGTAAAACTTTAGAACAGATTTTTTTTTATGTTTACAGCATTTCTTTCCCTATCTTTTATGAGCCTCATAAATGATGGTATTTTTAAAACTCGCATTTGAGAATGGGATACTCATAGTATTTAAAAAGTGGCAAATTGAATTTCATAGCAATGTCATGCGTTGATTCACGGGGATAATAATTTTTTACTTTGATTTACTACAGAGAAAAATATTCATAATAATGTTTCAGTCCAAATATCCAGCCAAGTCGAATCTCAATCGAGATTAACTCTACCGATTAAAAAAATTAATTAGAGGAGAGCATCCATATATGCACATTTCGTACGAGATTCTTGTCCTGATTGCCGAGTACAAGCTCAAAGACCTTTACCCGTATATACTGACATATTCTAAGGGTTAAAATTTCTCCAAATGATGCACAATAATTAACTTTTGTTTAATTATTTTTGAAGGTCAAACACAGATACATGTAATTGCTTTCGTATTGCAAAATATCACTTTTTAGAATGGATTTGTAAGCCTTTGAGACAGACTTCATATTAGACGTCGTCAATATCTGTATGAGGCATAGAGTGTTGAAAAAGAAATACCAAGCAAAGAAAAAAATAGAGGGGTATGCCTTTATGAATTTCAAACTATAGAAATAAATATTTGCAGTTTATAACAAAAATACACCTAATGAACCGAATGACAGACGAACAGACAGGCAGACGGTGAGACGGACCTAAACTAATATCCTCCACTTTCAGTGTAAGTAATGCGACAATATAGGTAACATTAACAGAGATACAGAGGACAAATGACTGACTTTAAAAATTTTTAGATAATAAAAATGAAATATAATATAATATAATAATGAAATAAATCAAACAATTAATCATATTTAATTATTTGCAATACTAGTACCAGACAAAGTTAGACAATGTGCATTAAGTCTTTGAAATGGAAATTAATCGAAAAAGATTAAATTTGTCAATGTGAGAACTACTAAATAACCGCTATCTAGGAATCTGGCAAACACAAGAGAGTTGACTCTCTGGTGAAAATTCAACTTCAAAAATATTCAAAACAGAGCGAAAGACACCAAAAATTAAATCAGCTAAGATAACATAGTAGTTCAAGAGAAGAGTTTGGTGTGTGCATTTATAAATATTGACTGTGGAGAGAGTAACTTTGATCTGACTTATACCCGTGGGAAAAAATGGAATATTATTTCATGACGTTTCAAAACAAGCAATATTTAGCTTGGATTTACTGGTTCGAGTTCGATGAGTTAAATTCGATTATCAAAACAAATTGCTAACAGAGAGCGCATGACCCCTCAAACCTTAAAAAGAAAATTGGCAGATTCGTAATTTTTTTATCTTTATGAGCGATAATGGCAATGGCTGCACATATTAAATGCAAAAACATATGTTAAACCTTTTGCCAGCAGTAATCCTTTGGACCCAAGTGTTCACAATAAAAAAAATTAAATTATTTACAATTATTATAATAACACAAAACAAAAATGTACCAGAACTGTTACATGTAAGACATAATAAATACACTTACAGTATATATATATAGTGATTTAATCGAATGGAAAGTCCAGGAGAGCTTACATATTAGTCAAATATCTGCCACAGTAATTTCCTATGTAGCGGTAATATAATCTACGCCATCAGTTGAGCTACCACCACCACCACCACCACTCCCCAAAGCAAATTAAGTCAATAATGTCATATAGCAACCCAAAGAAATCTTTCGTACCAGATTAAAATATTGTGATCCCACATATTTTCACTTTGCACGTATATTGTCAAATAGAATAATATGTGACGTTTTATAACAATGAATTAAAATAACAAAGAAAATTCAACTTATTTCGTTTAAAAACGTGTTTTATTCTTCTTCATTATAAATTAGATTTTCAACGATGAATGTTATCAAAGTCATCTTCTGACGTCGTATCATTTTTTTTTTCCATTCAAGGGAGATTTATCATGCAAAATATTTTATATTTGCTTTTGTTATATTGCTTTCAATATTTTGAATATTTAAATGTATTTTTCCATGATGTGCCATTATTCCTCTGAGTCATTTTTTTTTTTTTTTTGGTTTTAATCCGAGGGTACAAATTTTGGCGGATTTCAGAGGACTTAAATGCACTTCCAGTACGCTGTGACAAACTTCCGCAAAAATTTTGTGACCAGGTTCTTAGTGTAAAGTAATCCCACGAGGACAAGAAAGTATAGTTACTGTAGCTTGTTCTGGTTTTAATACCAATATGACAAATTTCCTTTAGGGACCACCCTCAGATCGGAGATGAAATGTAATTACAATCTAATGGATTCTGGATCAATCTTACATTGCCAATTGTTATGCAGATTGTTGGTAAAATAAAAGGACGTTATCTAGATGTATCTTAACCAGCGTATCCTAATATAATATATTCATTCTCGTTAATTTAAGTCATTTTTAACAAAAAAAAATTCTGCTAAAAATTCAATCTATATTTAGACAGAAGGCTAGCTTCCCGTGATCTTTTACCTGATTTGATGTACGTGCACTACGAATGGATCATAAAAATCCCAATATTCAGAGAAGTTAATCCTATTTAGGAATACATCGGTGGACTCAAAATGTAATTGATATTTTTGTAAATATTCTTTTTATGTCACAATCTCAGTTTTCTTATGTTTACGCATGTCATTAACTCTTCTAAAAGATCCATTACTCTGTGTGGTACAAGAAATGTTGACAGGTGTTGATCTTATACAACAGAAAAGAGGAGACCCACACAAAAATCCAGACTTTTTTTATGAAAAAAAGGTAATTTCGAGGATTTTTGTCGCATACATTAATACAGCTTAACAATATCATTAAAATTAGATTAAAAAAAAAAGTAAAAAAAAAATAATTAAATTACTCAATCATCTCTTTTTTATTGTACAGTATTGTACAGTACGAAACCAAAAATTGAAGAGTATGAAGGATAAACTGATGTTGTTCCAGAAAAGCAATCAATCCAAGCCTTCTTTCCTGCGTCCATTTTCTCAGCAACCATTTCAATGCATGATTAAGAATGGTCCTCCATGTGATGTCTAATAATGTGATTAAAATAAGTCTACATGCATCATATAGCCTTGCTAACGACACCGGTTCTAAATAGATTCGTTATAAAATATGAACCTGAAATTCGAATTAAAGAAAAAAAAACTCGAAATTCCGAACAAGTATCATTGTAAAACCATGTAAGAATTGATTTCTTACTCAAAAGAGAGAAATATGGGACATTTCTCGTATATCTAATTATTATATATTATACATTGTATATTATCTGTACATATTAAGTAATTCCACCTATTTTCAACTCGAACATACAATTACTGACGATAAAGCATTTCATTATCATTCTGCATTTTAATAGTTTCTATTTCTTATGTTTTACAATATGAAACCGGAAAACGAAGAATATGCAGGGTTAACAGATGCTGTTCTTCAAAAGCAATCAATCCAAGCCTTATCTCCTGCTTCCATTCTTACAACAGCCATTTTACTTCATGCTATTTCAAAATTCAGGCCGTTGTTATAACAATGGTTGTAAGCCCTTCTTTTACCATTCAAGACTAGAGAGGTGTAAGCGAAATTCTTCATTTTCGACAAAGTTGTCCAATCAAAGACGTACACTCCCGATTTTGGAGCGATGAAAATTCCTTTAACTGCGTTGTATCCACCACCTACATTCATATCGACGTCTCCAAACATGACGATGTTTCCCTTGCCAACTGATTGGACACTTCCTTTGGCTTTAGCATTGAATGCTATGATTATATTTTCTGAGAAGAAAATGTAAAAAACACTAATCATGTTTGATACTTCTGTGTAATAAATATACATGTATATAACTCATTCATTATACAATTCATTCATTAAACATATTGTGACTTACTTCTATCTCGGTTGTTTTTGCAGTGATCTTTAACATAGCCAACAGTTACACATGTTTTGGCGACACTGTCGTAGTCGTCTCTGAATGATTTAAGACCGGGTCGGGGTGACACTTTTTCAGTGAAAATTATAACAAGAATTGCACCTAACACCACAACAAACGCTAGTGAATGCATTCTATTAAAATAAAGAAAGAAATGAAAAACAAAATTTGAAGTAAACCACATCTCTTTTATAAAATAAAATTATTGTAAGATTTGTTAATTATTTTCTTTATTAAGTAAAGTCTTGTAAATTTGTGAAATAATACATCGCAGTTTTGATAAATACAAAAAGACACTTCATATTCAATAATGAGAATCATTTAACGAATAGAATCATTGACAGAGGTATTTATAGATTTATTTAACCTGAGGCATGGAAAAGAACCATGTTTCAAAAGAACAAATATTTTTTGAAAGATTGGATTCAATGAGTGGAATCTATTAGTTTTTTCAATATGGTTAAGATACTTTATATCTGTATATTAAGTAGTGGATCAATAATAAATGATCTTTTTGCATCACATATTTTTAAACACGATTTTTATTTAATTCAATTATTATTAAATTCAATTAATTTGAATTAACTAGAATACACATTCTAACCTGATTTGGATGTTTTTCAGTATGGACACCAACAGTAGATGCTTGTATTCTCTTTTCCTTTTATATAATACAGTGCGCGAGATCACGCACACACACACACCCACACCCACACCCACACCCCCGTTATGCAAATTATCCCACGTTTCCAACTATCGTTGATGCCCTGGCATACTCTACTAACTAGACAGTGATTCCTTATATAAAGAACCAAGAGCAGTACAACCATCTCTTTGGTCAAACTATACAATATATACATAAACAACATTTTTTTTTTTTTTTTTTTTTTTTTTTTTTAGATTAGCAGCCCTTTTAAAAAATGATGAACGATAATTGTTTCGTTCAAGTGATACAGCAGTAGCGTCGAGGGAACAGGTGCCTCAAAATTAAAAAAAAAAACAAAACAAAACAATTTAAATAAAACAAAAGGAAAAAAAAAAACAAACAAACAAAGAAAATAGACATTTATAACCGTTTTTTATTAAGTGTGATTTACTTAAATAAAGTAAGAAGTTGACAATAAAATTTAATTTTCATGTACGGAATAAACGTTCATAAAACAATCCGTTGACATCATTATGTGCGAAGAAATTGAATTGTATAAACAACGGAAACTTAATTATTTAAAAATATTTATTTAAGTATTCAAAAAAATTTTATATTTTAATATTAAAAGTGCTTTATATCTTTTTATAAATTGAGCTAGAGTATTAATTATAAAAAGAATACCTTGTGTGAAATTCAACAAGTATTATTTTTTCGACTGAATAAAAACCGTTCCTAGATCCTGTCTAGACTCCCACCTCACCCCTCCCTTTACAAAATTACTAGATCTGCTCCAATACAGTATGAAAATAGTATGCGACTTCCCTCATGAATAATTACATACTAATTGCTTGGAAGAAAAAAATTCTCAAGTTTATATTTGTCAAAACGATTAAGGTTATTTAAAATATGCAGTTTTTTTAAAGCATGATTGAAAACTGAATTTGACGCACGCGACGTCATTACATTTTCAGTAAGTAACGTCAACATTGTTTTGATTGATTGATTGATTGTATATCGTTTTACGTCCCATTCGAGAATTTTTCACTCATATAGAGACGTCACCATATACCGGTGAAGGGCTTCAAATTTTGACCTTTACTCGGCACTCAGGGCCATTGAGCAGTGAGGGATCTTTATCGTGCCAACGCCTACCGTGACACGGGGCCTCGGTTTTTAAGGTCTCATCCGAAGGACCCGCAACTTTCACTTCAAAGTGCCGAGTGCATGGCAAAGGAACAGTTGCTACCTATTTTTTTATCGACTTAGGTCTGTCGCGGCCGAGATTCGAACTCACGACCTCCCGATCACGGAGCGAGCATTGTTTTGAAGCGGCCTTACTAAAATACTATGAAATACTGAAAAAATGAGATATTTTCAAAATTGATGTATATTTGCATTCATAGAGAGTCAGGCTATCATAATTTATCAAAAAGTCAATTTGTGAAATGTTTACCTTAAGGGCCCTTTTCTCATGACGGTAGTCAATTGATTGTTTTGGTTTTAGCTTGAAGGCAGTAAAAATTGCATTGATTGAACTTTTTTAGCCTGGTATTATCTTCTTCTATTTAAAAAAAATTCCAGTTCAGCACGTCGCTGTGAATATTAATTATGCAAACTTTTAGTACATATTTTTACCGAATTAATTAATCAAATATATTATTTTGTCTTTAATACCTGTATAAATGTTTAATTCACAGGAAAAAAATTATTTTCTGACTTCTAATATTTTTACCTGACGAAGGCTCAAGCAACTTTAATCTTTCTGATTAATTCTCAATTAACTAAAATGGTGTAAATTTATAGAAATGAATACCATACGTTTTAATGTTCTTTGTGCTTCTAAGGTCAGCCGTTTACACATATACATTGTACATACAATTCCTAACTAACTATCCCTACTAGTCTAGAAAAAAAAAATTATTTTAACAATCTCTATGACGAAGTAAAAAAAAAATAAACTAGAACTGGGAATCTGCAAATTTAAAATACGCAAGGGCGGTGCTAACATGTAACTCGGAACCTTTTTAACGCATGAGTGAACAAACCAGTCCCAGGGACTGCTGGGACTGCTAGGTCTTCTTTTAAAGATTAGTCCCAGCAGTCCCACAGCGGTCCCAGAGTAGTTCCACAGCAGTCCCACGGCGTTCCACAGCAATCCTTCAGCAGTCCCCTGGATTGCTTTCTGGGATTGCGAGGGTGTCAGGTTGTCTCTGGTTGGTATTGTATATCGGGGTAGGGGGATTCTCTCCAAAGTACCTCTGCAAAAAACCTGGAAGTTTACATTTTTATGTTGATAATTAACATAAGGTAGCCAAATGATTTTCTTCTCTGACACCACTGAGATATCTGGTCTTGTTTAAGCAACCTTGAAAACAGTTTGCTAAAACTATGCAAGAGAAAAATATTGGGGGTCTTCCATTTCTTTGTCTCAAAAAAGTATATAAGTTCTAGTGCAGCTCTCCAAATAATGCCTGTCAGATTTAAGTCTACTCACCAGTAGAAGATATCCTTTTTTTAAAAATTTCTTACTGCATGCTACAATTGGGTGATATCACACCATTTCGTAACGTCTTGTAAAATCGTACAATTTGCAGTGCATTATGCATGTATATGTAGGTAACGAACAGTATTCATGCTCAAAATTCCATTAAAATAATACAAATCAGGAGCAGAGTAAACACGGACCTCTAAAACATCCAGAGATGGGATCAGATGCCATGCAGGAGCGAGCATCCTCTGTCGACCGGTCACACTCGTCATGTGCTCCTTGTTATAATTGGGAAATAACGAGAAAAATCGTAGACTATTAAAGACATACGGCAGTGGCGGAGATAACTCTTGCGATTTCAATTAAACGTTTAACATGACCTCAAATTTGACGTTAATAATAAAGCGTCAAAACGATGATCGATATGATTAGAAACAGAAAAATGGGATTAGGGGCTTGATTGTGATTTCTTTACGAGTACAAATTCTATCATTGATTTATTTTTTAATTAAACCTCTCCCCTCTATGAAAAGAAAGAAACGAAAGATTACCCCTCAATTTTCTTTAATTTCATATTATGTATATCGTGTCTGTGATCAAAGCACAGCATTTTCCATCTGAAAATTTTTGCTACATTTTTCCCCGTTACAGATGGCTACATAACATTCCAATTACAGGTCTATCTCGTAATTATGCATTCACAAAAAATGTTCTTCGTTATATAAATATAAAACAAACAAACAAATAAGAAAAGCAAAACAAAACATTTTACAATGTAAATTATCGATACCGTTCTCAGAAGCTCACTGGTCAAAGAGGAACAACTCTAAAAATGTGGGATATGTTTGCTTTCTCTCCCTTAAGTTGAATTATTCCTCCTGTTTTCCGAACAATATTATGTTTTCACGAATACACAGATACATTTACAGAACTGAATACTATAAAATATACAAAGTAAGTATCGGAGTTGAAGAAGAACTGTTCACAGAAGTTATTTGAATCAATGAATATCTCATTGAAGCAAATGTCCGACCTTCTGTCACTGTGAACAGTGTCGGTTCATATTTCCTCGAATTAAAACGTTTTATATCACTGTACACATGAAACATTTTAAAATAAATGAAGAATTTAAAGATTGATACATTGAAGTTAATATGGACGAATACGAACTTTATCTATAAAAGCAGCAGAAGTATGCATACAATATCGGGGAGGGGTGTATCCCCACATTGTGAGTTCACTTTTGACAAGAAATGAAATTAAAAATCATTAGATAAAAGTAAATTTCAATGTCAGTTGAATTTCATATCCATTTACGAAATATAAATGCATATGTATGGCCTACATACCGGACAAGGGGGCTTAAATTCCTCAGTAAGTTTTACTTAAATACAAAATATACTAGTAGTCAATGTTTAATATGCATACAAGAATAAACAAATTATTACTTCAGGAATTCAATGACTAAATATATCTGTAATGTATCCGATGTTTCATTAAGCTCGAGTGGTCTGTTTGGCCAAGAAAGCAAAGGGAAAAAAAGGGGGGGGGGGGTCATAGTAAAAATAAAATGCCTTTAAATCTACATTTCAATGCGCTTTACATTTGAAAATTCTAATAAAATAAAATGTAAATAACATTTTTAAATCAAAGGATATCTTCCAACTTATAACTTATAATTTTTTATGTGTATTTGTAGATTCATCGC